ATTGACAATGATGTTGCGGGGGTGATGAAAGATTTAGAGGCAGAGATGAGAGATGTGTGGTTCAAAGCCGAAGAAAGGATAGAGATGGAGTTGACTACCTTTAATCTAGCAAAGGATAGTCTTCTTCATCTAACAGCTTGCCTGCTCAGTAGGCTTCATGAAATCTTCAAAGAAGCAGAAAAACAGACTGATTACCACAGGAATGAGTTGATTAGGATTAAAAGGGAATACCAGGGGCTTGCAAAGGTTTCACTCCTTGGTCGGATCCGACGAAGAGGACTAATACAGCTTGTCAAAGGATCATCACTGCATGATCTATTACACAAGAAAATTATTGTGAGTAACTTTTCCAAAAAAGCTTCAAAGTTTGACGGTGGAATGGTCGGATGCGAGAAACTGTTCGAGAAGATATTGGATCAGCTTCTCATGCAACAAACAACTAAGGGGAGACAAGTTGTTTCAATTGTTGGCATGGGAGGAATAGGCAAGACCACTTTAGCACACAAAGTTTATGAACATCCGTCAATTACTTCTTATTTTGACATGCGAGCATGGATTACTGTATCCCAAGAGTTTAACCAGGAACGAATACTCCGATGCCTTATTGGTTGTGTTATTGCAGCATCAAGAGATGAACTCCATAAACAGAGCACTGACCAAGAAGTTATTGCAGCATCAAGAGATGAACTCCATAAACAGAGCACTGACCAAGACCAATTAGCTGAACGCCTGCGTAAACACTTGAAGGAACAGAGGTATTTGATAGTGATGGATGATATATGGAGCACTACCGCTTGGGATAATGTGCAAAGATGCTTTCCAGATGATAATAATGGTAGTCGTATACTACTAACTTCTCGACTCAGAGAGGTGGCAGAATATGCTAGCTCAGGTAACTCTCCTCTTAACATGCCTTTCTTAGATGCCGATGAAAGTTGGAATCTCTACTGCAAAGTCTTTGGTAAAACTGAATTCCTTCTAGTGTTTGACCAAATTGGGAGAGACATAGTGAAGAAATGTAAAGGATTGCCTCTAGCTATTACTATTGTAGCTAGTCTTCTCTCCAAGACAGAAGAGGAGGAGGAAAAGTGGAAGAATGTTGCAAAAAGTGTAATGGGTGATTCTAGTGATGCATGTTCTAGAATACTATATTTGAGTTACAATCAATTACCACACCATTTAAAAGCCTGTTTTCTATATTTCGGAATTTTTGAAGAAGACTATGAGATCTCTGTGAAGGAGTTGTTTAGGTTGTGGGCGGCAGAGGGATTTTTGAGCACTGTGAAGCATGTGAATTTGGAGAAAGTGGGTATGGAATGCTTGCAAGATCTTGTTGATAGGAGTCTTGTTATTGTTAGCAAACATAGCTACAATGGGGAAATGAAGAGAATAATGATCCATGATATGTTGCGAGATTTGTGTATGAGAGAAGGTAGACTTGAAAATCTCTTGAATGTCAATGGAGTTAAAAAACCTTATTGGATAACCCATACATCAAGATCTTTCCTTAATAAAGTCAGGTATGAAGATGAGTGCTTTCACAAACCTCATTCCTTTCACGTAAATACTCATCATTTTTACTATTATGATAGTGCAATTGTGGAACATCTAGTTTCACACTTGAAACTACTAAGAGTAGTAGACATGAGAAATAGAATTTGGCATGGATTTATAAACCTAAATGTGTTTGCAAATCTTGTCCATTTAAGATACTTAGCATTGTCCACATCTATGTCTAATGAGATAAAGCTCTTTAAGCATTGGAATATGCAAAGTTTGATTGTTAGTGGGGATGGTGCTATATTGTGTTCTTCTGAGGAATCTGGAATTTGGAAAATGCCACTATTAAAAAATTTTTGCATTGGAAGAATTTGTTCATTAGAAACTCCGTCGGTTGTTTATAGAAACTTAGAGAATATATCTTGGTTGGATTCTAAGTTATGTACAAAGGATCTGTTTACCATGATTCCGAATTTAAAAGAATTGGGGGTTGATGGTGGATACTCTTTTTATAGTCTAGATAGTCTAGATTGGGTTTATAATTTTGTGCACTTGGAGCACCTTGAGAAACTAAGCATCAGAAGGTGGATGAAATTGGACCTTGATATGTGTAGCATCCCATGGGCAACTAGTTTACCAAATCTTAAGAAGCTCAGCTTCTTGGAGTCTAATCTGAAGTGGTGTGAGCTGAGCGCTATTAGTATGTTGCCTAATCTTGAGGTTCTAAAATTGATAGATGCTTGTGATGGCCCAGAGTGGGAGACATCTGATGGAGGGTACCATCGATTGAAGAGGTTGGTAATTAAAAAAATGGATTTGCTATGTTGGAATGCTATGGGTGACCATTTCCCTATGCTCGAATGTTTAGAGATAAGTGAGTGCTATTCGTTGAAAGAAATCCCTCGTGATTTTGCTGATATCACCACACTAGCATTGATTCAGTTAAGTGGATGTAGGAATTCCGTTGTGGCTTCTGCAAAGTGGATTCAAGAAGAGCAAAACAACAACTATGGAAATGATGCCCTCCTTGTTCGTTCCGAAAATATTGGGTCTCTTTCTATCCCTCTGATATATCTCGACTCTCACCATTTAACATGCACTTCATACTATAATTTTTCATGGCTGATGGTTACAATATAATGGATAATCATCTATCTGATCTGTTTTCTCTCACTTGTATCTCATATTTCCTTATCTATCTAACTGTGTTCACCTTTTCTTTTTACCGAATTTGTTGTTTCCAGGCATTCAAAATATGGTAGTAGGCTAGAGGAGGAAGTGATCAGTACTGAATGAATAGCAGTACAGTAGGTATGTTGTACGAGCACATATAACTGGATGTTTATTTTGTGTGAAAGAAAAATGAATTAAGCTTATTGCTTTCACTTTTTAAGAGTATATATAGGAAGGCCTGGAGAAATTGTTGGAAGATATGACAAATTTTGAATGTGCATAGTGGCCTGGGAAGCTGATGGATGCTGCCATAGCATTGCAGTTTGCAGTTTGCAGTTTGCAAGAAGGTCGGATGAGATGGAGCTGAACTTCAATTCTCCATCTCAAGTCTCAATTTTTTGAGTTTTCAAAGGAACCCACCCTCACTTAGTCTTGTTTGAATTCATTGTTATGTTAAGGAATTTTTGCATTACGAATCTTTTCATTACAAACCATGTCGGTTGTTCAAAGAAACTTAGAGAATATATCTTGATTGGATTTTAAGTTATGTACAGAGGATTAATCTGTTTGTACAGATTTGATGTTGCTTGGAAATTAATTAGTTCTGTAATATATGGAGTCTCTGTACTTAATGACTTGTCTTTCTTCATCTCAAGTCTCAACTTTGTCTGTAGTTCATAGAAACTTAGAGATCAGAATATATCTTGGTTGGTTGGATCCTAAGTTCTGTACAAATTAAAGCATATGTTTACAAGGATTCCGAATTTAAAAATAAAAAAAATAAAAATCAACATGATGTGATTTTCGTTTTGAAAATCTACCAAATCTTAAGAAGCTCAACTTCTTTAATTAGTAGTTATATGCCTGCCATGGAGTGATATATATGAGGCTTATTGGTATGCTACCAAATCAATAGACTACAGGTTCTAAACGTGAAAGGTGGTTGGGGTACGGTTTAGGAGATTGGGAGGAATTAGATGGTGGATTCGGTGCATTGAAGAGGTTGGTAATAGAAAATAGTACTCTCCAAGGTTGGAATGCTATTATACCGGTGACCATTTCCCTTTGCTTGAAGGCTTATCATTACGTAAATGTCATGATTTGGAAGAGATCCTTGGATGTTTTGCCGATATAATCACACTAGCATTAATTCAATTATACGAATGTTGGGATTCCTTACTGGCTTCAGCAAAGTGGATTCCAGATGAGCAAGGCAACAACCACTATGGAATTAAATGCCATCGTCCTAGCTAGCTTGTTCATTCCAAAAAGATTAAGAGGACGTTTACTAACAGAATTTTTTTTTTTAAAAAAATCAAATTTGAAAATGAAAACACCCAAAAGCATTTACGTCATGTATTCCAACTTTGAAAACCAAGAATAGTCTCTATTTATTAGGAAATCAGGAACACACCTAGAAAGGCTAAAAGCTATTCTCTAATTTGAAAACACTCACGGGTGAACAGTAATAAAGTTGATCGATTCCTCCTAGTCGTAAAAAATTTAAAAAATTTTAAAAAATAGTATACGATGTCGGTTATACTTTTTTTTGGCTATACGATGTCGGTTATACAAACAACTGATGTTGTAGAATTTGTTGATTTATTTAAAATTAATTATGGTGTCGGTTTTTTGTAAAAACCGATGTTAAAAGTCTCTTTTAAATTATAAATTTAATTAATATTTTGACGTCGGTCCGACGTTATATATATGTGTGTGGCGTTCTAGGTGATTTCTGTAATAGTGTCAATTATCATGACTTGCAATTTTGTGTTTCAATTAGTCACAAAAGTGATTATTTTTGTCTTTCTAAAGACTAAAATAGTGGTTTACAAAAATTACAATTTTGGTTTCTAATATATTTTTGAACCACAAATTAAATCATTTTCAGGTACTAATTAAGAGCCAAATTTATAAATTATGATAATTAAGAACTGCACTTGCGCTTGTCCTATAATTTAGGGACTAAAATTGCAATTATGAGAAGAAAGAAAGAAGCTAGGCAACTTACCGCTAATTTAAAAATGAGGTTTATTTAAACTCTGGCGTTGACCAAAGAATTCCGGTTTACATTGTATGAGATCGATCAATCTATGTAATTCTTCTCAGTTCTCCTCTGATTTTCGGACGAAAATTAAATGGCTTATGCTGCTGTAACTTCGCTTATGGAAACACTTTCTCTACATTTCTTGCAATCACAACCACCCTTTCCTCTTGAAGATTTAGAGGCACAGATTAGAGATGGCAATGAAAACCTTGGCTTGCTGCAGCAAATTCTTGAGAAATCCCAGATTAGCAATGATAATGCAGAGGCTCAGATGAGAGACGAAGCGTCTTCTTCAAAGGGTGTTCATGGAATCTTCAATAATGAAGCAGTAAAACAGACTGATTATTACCCCAAGAAGAAGAAGAAGATTAAAAGTGAAAAGCTGCAGCAGCTTGCAGATTTAGAGGCACAGATCAGAGATTCCAATGAAAATGTTGGCGTGCTGCAACAAATTCTTGAGGCTCGGATCAGAGAGATGGAGTTGGAGGAAGAAGCGTCATCAAAGCGTCTTTGTATAAAGGCTTGCTTCCCCAGGCTTTACGGAAAGCAGCAGCTTGCTTGGGATACTATACTTTTGACTTCTCGCCTCAGGGAGATGGCTCAACTCAAACAAAACATAGTTTCTCTCCATCAAAATCTCGGCTTGCTGCAACAAAGTCTTGACAAATCTGAGATTGCCTATGATGATGCGAGGGTGAGGGTGATGAGATATTTAGAGGCACAGATCAGGGATGCATCATTCAAAGCGGAAGAAAGGATTGAGATGGAGTTGACTGCCATTTATCAAGCAAGGGATAGTCTTCATGTAACAGCTTGCCTGCTCACTCTTCATCAAATCTTCAACGAAGCAGAAAAACAGACTGATTACCACATGAATGAGTTGATTAGGATCCGACGAAGAGGACTACTACAGCTTGTCAAAGGACTACTACACAAGAAAATTACTGTGAGTAACTTTTCCAATAACGCTTCAAAGTTTGAGGGTAAAATGGTCGGATGCGACAAGCTGTTCTTGACGGTATTGGATCAGCTCAAGCAACAATCAACTAAGGGGAGACAAGTTGTTTCGATTGTTGGCATGGGAGGAATAGGCAAGACCACTTTAGCACACAAAGTTTATGAACATCCATCAATTACTTCTCATTTCGACAAGCGAGCATGGGTTACTGTATCCCAAGAGTATAACTTAGAACAAATGCTCCGATGTCTTCTTGGTTGTGTTACTGCAGCATCAAGAGATGGTGGCCAAGACCAATTAGCAGAAAGGTTGCAAAAATGTTTGAAAGGTCAGCGATATTTGATAGTGATTGATGATATATGGAACATTATTGCTTGGGATAGTGTGCAAAGATGCTTTCCAGATGATAATAATGGAAGCCGTATACTTTTGACTTCTCGTCTCAAAGAGGTTGCTGAATATGCATGCTCAGGTAACACTCCCCTTAACATGCCTTTCTTAGACGCCAATGAAAGTTGGAATCTCTACTGCAAAGTGTTTGGAAAAACTGAATTCCTTTTAGTATTTGAGCAAATTGGAAGAGACATAGTGAAGAAATGTAAAGGATTACCTCTGGCCATTATTGTAGTAGCTAGTCTTCTCTCCAAGATAAAGGAGGAGGAGGAAGAGTGGAAGAATGTTGCTAAAAGTGTAATTGGTGATTCTAATGATGCATGTTCCAGAATACTGTATCTAAGTTACCACCAATTACCACACCACTTAAAACCTTGTTTTCTATATTTTGGAGTTTTTCAAGAAGACTATGAGATCCCTGTGAAGAAGTTGGTTAGGTTGTGGGCAGCAGAGGGATTTTTGAGGACTGTGAAGCATGTGAATATGGAGAAAGTGGCCATGGAATGCTTGCAAAATCTTGTTGATAGAAATCTTGTTATAGTTAGCGAACAGAGCTATAATGGGGAAATGAAGACAATAAGGATACATGATTTATTGCGAGATTTGTGCTTGAAAGAAGCTAGGCGTGAAAATCTATTGAATGTGAATGTGATTGGAGATGAAAAGCTTCCATTTTACAAGAGGAAATCACAGCACTTGTTTTCAAAACCTTGTCGTTGGATAAGTGATACATCAGAATGTTTGAATCATCAAATCAGGTCTGGAGATAGGCGCTTTGACAAATCTCATTCCTTACACTCAAGGTTTGGTCACTCTAGTGGATTTTACTTTCGTGTACTTGATGAACTTCATTCACACTTGAAACTGCTAAGAGTAGTAGACATTGAATGTGGGCATTGTAACACTTCATGTGAGGTAAATGTGTTTGCCAATCTTGTTCATTTGAGATACTTTGCTTTGACCCATCAATATAGAAATGATCACGCTCCTCTTTATGTAAAGCTCTTTGAGCATAGGAATATGCAAAGCTTTATTGTTCGTGGAAGATTGGTTACATGGGATTCCTCTAGTGCATTTACAATTTGGAAAATGCCACTATTAAGGAATTTTTGTGTTGAACAAATTCTTTCATTAGAAACTTCTTCGGTTGTTCATAGAAACTTAGAGAATATATCTTGGTTGGATTCTAAACTCTGTACACCGGATCTATTTACAAGGATTCCAAATTTAAAAAAATTGGGGATTGAAAGTGGAGATGCTGATTGTTTTTATAATTTTGTGCACTTGGGGCAGCTTGAGGCAGTAAGCATCAGAAGACGGTTTGAAATCCCATGTAGCAGCATCCCATGGACAACTAGTTTTCTACCAAATCTTAAGAAGCTCAAATTCATTGATACTTATGGTTTGAAATGGAGTGATATGAGGCTTATTGGTATGTTGCCGAATCTAGAGGTTCTAAAATTGATAAATGCTTGCCAAGGCCCAAAGTGGGAGACATCTGAGGGAGGGTTCCGTCAATTGAAAAGGTTGGTAATTGAAGACCGAAATTTGGAAGATTGGAATGCTGAGAGTGACCATTTTCCTGTGCTCGAATGTTTAGAGTTACATGAATGCACGGATTTGCAAGAGATTCCTTGTGGTTTTGTGGATATCACCACACTAGCATTGATTGAGTTAAACTACTGTGAGGATTCACTTCTGACTTCCGCAAAGTGGATTCAAGATGAGCAACTCAACAACTATGGAAATTCCATCCTTGTTCGTTCTGAAAATATATATATAAGGTCTCTTTCTATCCCTCTGATAGATCTCTCTCTGACCATTTCACATCTCATTCTACTTGTTATCTGCAAGGAATAGTCATCTGTTGTCTCATTTTTCCCTATATATTTCCTTACCTATCTAACTGCTGTCAGTTCATTATTTCCAGCCTGAAAGAGTAAGCATCTCAGAGGAAGAATGTGACGAGAAGAAATTGTTTGAAGACAACTTTTGAAGGATATGTCCAGGTGACTACTCTGTTTATATATTTTGGTTTCTGCTTCTGGGATGATTAGAGATCTAATGTCTCAACTGTTTTGTTGCTCTGATTTTTTTTTTTTTTTTTTTTTTTTTTTTTTTTTTTTTTTTTTGGATTAGCCAAGAATTGAATTGAAGTTGGGTGAATATTCTGTTGCACCCACATCATAGCATTGCAGTTTGCAGTTCACTCATTCTTAAACACAGACAATTAAGTTTTTGTACAAAAGCTTGCATGGTTTTCTTGAGTAGGTTTTCTTCCTCTACAAAACCTCTCAATACTGTGGGTGACCAATTCCCTGTGCTCAAATGTTTAGAGTTAAGTGAGGGCTATTGGTTGGAAGAAATCCCTCGTGGTTTTGCCGATATCACCACACTAGCATTGATTCAGTTAAGCTATTGTAGGAATTCAGTTAAGAAAAATGAATTAAGCTTATTGCTTCATTCCACTTTTTGAAAGTATATATATATATAGGAAGCTAGGCCTGGAGAAATTGTTGGAAGACATGACAACTTTTGAATGTGCATTAGTGCATAGCATTGCAGATTGCACTTTGCAGTTTGCAGGAAGGATGAGATGGAGCTGAACTTGAATTCTCCATCTCAAGTCTCAATTTTGAGTTTTCAAAGGAACCCACCCTCACTCACTCACTCTTGTTTGAATTCATTGTTATGTTATACACACAAACACATATATATAATGTTAGTTCTCATATATACATGCTTTACCATGCTTTATCATCATCAAATGCTGGAGATTAAAGCCAATTAACTTCAGATCGAGATTCAAATGCTGCTAGATTAGCTTGTGCTTCCCCTGATGGCCTGACTATTGGAATATATGCATTCTTCTTCTTCTTCTTTTGTAACTGTGTAAGAGATCAGATTTGCTAATAACCCATAACCTACATTTTACAAATCTGATCTCCGGCCTGTAATCACCTAAGCTACCTACAAGCTAGCCTCTAAGTTCCTTCACAGACTTGGGACTGGGCCTTAGCTACATCTTTTGCAGTAATGATATATTGATATGATACTCCCCAGTCCCCAGGCCACTTGAGTTTCACAAAAACAAGTAAACAACACTTAGTCTGCACCTCTTAAAAAGTATGAATTGTTGGTGCTGAAAAAATCGATATACCAAAAATATATATATGCGAAATATATATAGATATTAACAAATTTTGAAAATAAATAAATGTATATATATAATTCGAAAACAATGAGATTTATAATTTTACAAAAATAATGCCAACCATAAACTAGTACGAAACTTAGAAAATTAATACAACCAATTAAAACTTAGTATGAAACCAAGATTTATTTATACAAAAATAAATAAAACGAGAAAGGGTTTTATAAATGAGATTGTAAACCCAACAGAGAGGAATGAGAAAATCTGAGTCGTGTGTAACACACACTTTCTTTAAAATCGATTCGCTATCTCCCGATGGTGCTAGGAGCGTTCTAGCGTCAATCTCCAAGGATAAAACGGATTAAGACTTTAGTGTTTAATTTGAGCACTCAAACATTAAGTCCGACAAACTAGAACACAGATCAAGCACTCCGTACAATTTACGGAAATGTTGGCAGAATTTTTTCATAAGAAAAGAGTTTGAGAGAGAAATAAAGAAAACCCAAAATTTGAGAAGAATTCAAAACCAGCACGAAAACAATCTGCCCAACACCAAACTTTTATAGGAGATTGAGAAATAAATAGCATTAAACCATCGCATTATCATCTTAAATAAATCACATATGTAACCCCATAACTTGCAATTTTAATTTTAAATTTAATTCTCAAGACATCACTTTTCGAATTTACTACTCGAAAAGCGGCTCTAAGTATAAGCTCATGATGATGTTACATGGTTAGATGACTTACTTTATTAGAAAAACTTTAAAAAAAAAATAATATTATTAGAAAAATAAAAATTTCCAAATAATTTTTTTCAAATATTAATTTTTAGCATGAAAAATGTTACTCTGTATAATATTATTTTTGCAGTTACACTCTTTTTTAAAGAGACACCAATCCTATAATACATGTTAAACTATATTTGGGATTAATAGTTTTAAAAATAATTTTAATATAGTCATTACTTTAACATTGAATACGAAATCTTTAATAATTGTATTGAACATTTAAATATTGATAATTTAACACTAGATCTTTTTTTTTTAAATAATTATACCTAATTATGTATAATATTATATCTAAACTTTTAGTTTTGAAAATTATACTATGGACTATGAATAAATGTTTGTTGGTCCCAAAAGATGTAAGGTAAAAGTCTAGAGAGGTGGGGGGGGGGGGGGTGGGGGGAGGGGTAAATAGACTTTTAAATCGTTTTCACAAAAACAACAATTGCTAAGGCAACAGAGAAACCAAAACTCTTAACTAGATTGTTAGAGTCTTGTGCACAGCGAAATAAATAAAGTGTAAGTGTGTGGTGATTGTGTCAAGTATATCCACATGAAGGCAAGCAAGAAGCAGTAAGTAAATAAAGCAGTAAATGACACAAGGCAATTATAGTGATTCGGAGGTGGTGTGATCCTCCTACTCCATTTGCTCTTATCCTCCAAGAGCAATTCACTATATCCACCACTTCTTGGTTCCAAGATATAATGAATTCCGTGATTTAGAGCTTTGATCACTAAGCCCACACTTGCCTCCAACACTGCTACTTTGGATTTCACAACTCTATGCTACTTTCTCAGGATGTTACAGCTCCGTGTTACTTTTCCCTTTCTTCTACGCTTCGATAGACGAATCCCGTGATCTAGTGCTTTGATCACCAAGCCCGCACTAATCACGCCAGTGCCTCTGACACTGCTGCTTCGGATCTCACAGCTCCGTGTGACAAGTTTTCTCTTGCTTCCAACTTTGAGACTTCTTGATGGATCTTCAATATGCAACAAGTCTCTCAATGATGAAGATTTTAAACACTCTTGAATATTTTTCTCTGTAAGCTCTGTATCTGAGTGTTTATCTCACTTGAATATTTTTCTCACTGTTGAATATAACACTTGTTCGTATGTACTGTTCGTTGCTGGTATTGGAAATCCTTTTGTCTGCTTCAATCTTCATCCTTTTATAGCTGGTTTTGAGAATTTGTCCGTTGGAAAAAGACAATCTCAAATTTGAATTCTTGTAGCCTTTTTCAGAAGATTTGTAGCTTTTTCAGAAAATCTTATCTCAGAAATAATGTCTCTGACATTTGAGATATTTTAGCCGTTTGCTTTTAGCTTTTGGTCCATGTGGGTAGGCTCTTAAAATAATTCTGATGTAGATCATGCCTTATGAGACTTTCCTCTTGTGATTTCATTGTCACAGTATACGGCTACTGATGAATTAATTCTTTCTATTGTCCGGCCAATGAGATCTCTTGAACTGGATCTCATACTAGTAGTGAAATCTCAACCCTTGATTGAAACTTCATCTCATACTTCAGCTCGTACTATATATAGTCTTTGAAACTTCATCTTGAACTTCGTCTCCTACTATATATAGTCTTTTTGAAACTTCATCTTGAACTTCATCTCTTACTATATATAGTCTTTGAAACTTCATCTGTAACTTCATCTCCTGCTATATATAGACTTTTGAAACTTCATCTTGAACTTCATCTCATTTGACTTTGACTTGTGAACTTCACCTTGTACTTCATCTGTAACTTCACCTCATACTGCATCTCTAACTTTGACTTGTGAACTTCACCTTATACTTCATCTGTAACTTCACCTCATACTTCATCTGTAACTTCACCTCATACTTCATCTTTACCTTCATCCCTAACTTCATCCCGAACTTCACCTCATTTGACTTTGACTTGAACTTCAGCTTATACTTCATACTTTGACTTGTGAACTTCACCTTATACTTCATCTGTAACTTCACCTCATACTTCATCTTTAACTTGACTTCATCTGTAACTTCACCTCACTGCATCTCTGACTTTGACTTGTGAACTTCACCTTATACTTCATCTGTAACTTCATCTGTAACCTTGTGAACTTCACCTTATACTTCATCTGTAACTTCACCTCATACTGCATCTTTAACTTCATCCCTAACTTCACCTTGTACTTCATCTGTAACTTCACCTTACCTGGCCTTGTACTTCATCTTTAACTTCATCCCTAACTTCACCTTGAACTTCATCTTTAACTTCATCCATAACTTCACCTTGTACTTCCTCTGTAACTTCACCTTGTACTTCATCTGTAACTTCACCTCATACTGCATCTCTGACTTTGACTTGTGAACTTCACCTTATACTTCATCCCTAACTTCACCTTGTACTTCTCATACTGCATCTCTGACTTTGACTTGTGAACTTCACCTTATACTTCATCTTGAACTTCACCTTATACTTCATCTGTAACTTCACTACTTCATCTGTAACTTCACCTCATTTGACTTTGACTTGTGAACTCACCTCATTTGACTTTGACTTGTGAACTTCACCTTATACTTCATCCCTGAACTTCACCTTATACTTCATACTTTGACTTGTGAACTTCACCTTATACTTCATCCCTAACTTTACACCTCATACTTCATCCCTAACTTCACCTCATTTGACTTTATACTTCATACTTTGGCTTGTGAACTTCACCTTATACTTCATCCCTAACTTTATACCTAAACCTCATACCTTCACATTATACTTCATCCCTAACTTCATACTTTGAGTTGAGAACTTCATCCCTAACTTTACACCTCATACTTTGAGTTGAGAACTTCATCCCTAACTTTACACCTCATACTTTGACTTTAGAGTTAATTTATCAAGCTTCTAACCATCTCGTCTATACATATTATTAGTTATTGTAGCATTCTTCTTGATGTACTTCTTTCTTTCCACAGATGCTTGATCTCCAAGATAACTTCATGCAATCTCATTTGCTTCTCGTTTCTTCGTATGAGATTTTCCAGTATGGCTTCTTCTGCATGCGGGCTTGTTTAAGTATACATATCATATGTATACATCTTCTTCTTCATATTTTTTTTTTTTATATATATTTTTCCCTTTTTCTATAATTGTTAATTTT